GACTACAGGCATGCACCACCATGCCCAGCTAGCTTTTTTATTTATTTATTGAGACAGATTTTTGCTCTTTTGCCCTGGCTGGAGTGCAGTCTCAGCTCACTGCAACCTCCACCTTCCAGGCTCACGTGATTCTTATGCCTCAGCCTCCCAGGTAGCTGGGATTACAGGCACACACCACCACTCCTGGTTAATTTTTGTGTTTTTAGTAGAGCCAGGGTTTTGCCATGTTGACCAGGGTGGTCTCGAACTCCTGACCTCAAGTGATTTACCTCCCTTGGCCTCCCAAAGTGCTGGGATTACAGGTGTGAGCCACCATGCCCGGCCACCAGCTAGTTTTTTTTTGTTTTTGTTTTGTTTTGTTTTGTTGTTTTGTTTTTTTAGTAGAGAGACAAGTTTTACCATATTGCCCATGCTGGTCTTGAACTCCCAGACTCAAGCAATCCACCTACCTTGGCCTCCCAAAGTGCTGGGATTACAGGTGTGAGCCACCATGCCTGGCACCTGACTGACTGAACCTTAATGAAGACCATTTCCTAGTGAAAAGGAAAAGTTTGGAAAGCACTCACATGTTAGAGCCCTAACCTAAGTCTTAAAGAAGTTTGATAGTTCAGCTCTCTGTTAGCATAACACTTGAACTAGTTTAAACTATTTTCATTTATATTAGGCTTATTTTGATAATTACATAAATGAAAGCTTATTTTATTTTATTTTATATTTTCTTGAGATAGATTCTTGCTCTGTCACACAGGCTGGAGTGCAGTGGAGTGATCATAGTTCACTGCAGCCCCAACCTTCCGGGCTCAATCCTCCTACCTCAGCCTTCTGAGTAGGTGGAACCACAGGCACATACCGCCACACCTGGCTAATTTTTAATTTTTTTGTAGAGATGGGGTCTCACTGTGTTGCCCAGGCTGGTCTTGAACTCCTGGGTTCAGGTGATCCTCCCACCTCAGACTCCCGAATGGCTGGGATTACAGGCATGAGCCACCGTGCTCAGCTGAAGGCCTGTTTTATTTATTTATTTATTTATTTATTTATTTATTTATTTTCTTTTTCTTTTTTTGAGACAGAGTTTTGCTCTTGTTGCCCAAACTGGAGTGCAATGGCGCAATTTCAGCTCACTACAACCTCTACCACCTGAGTTCAGGTGATTCTTGTGGCTTCAGCCTCCCAAGTAGCTGGGATTACAGGCATGCACCACCACACCTGGCTAATTTTGTATTTTTAGTAGAGGTGAGGTTTCACCATATTGTCCAGGCTAGCCTCAAACTCTTGACCTCAGGTAATCCACCTGCCTCAGCCTCCCAAAGTGCTAGGATTACAGGCGTGAGCCACTGTGCCTGGCAGCCTATTTTAGTTTTACATAGAGCAGTTTATGCATTGGGCAAATCTGTGAAGTCTAACTTCCTACCTTTAAAATATATTTTTTTTAATGTCTAAAACTTTAAAAAATTATTTTAAAAAATACAATTACCTTCATATCTATATACATGGTAAGATATACTTTATTGGCCTTAAACAGGGTGGTGAAAAAATGTACTTTGAAATTACATATATACAATGGGACCCAAAAAAACCATCTTACTGTACTTTATTTCTGCATGAAAGGCAATTTAACAAGTGAACATCAGAGTTTTAACTACTCATGTATAATTCAGCCAATTTGTAAGGATTAGGTACTTCCAGAATCAAAGAACAATAATACAGTTCACCTAACTTTCTGTAAAAAGACAAAAGCTGTTCCTTCTCAGCAAACTGACACAAGAACAGAAAATCAAACGCCACATGGTATCACTCATCGGCGGGTGTTGAACAATTAGAACACGTGGACACAGGGAAGGGAGCATCACACACTGCGGTCAGTTGCAGGGGACTAGGGGATGGACAGCGGGGTGTGGGGAAGGTGGGGAGGGATAACATGGGGAGAAATGCCAGATATAGGGGATGGGGGAGGAAGGCCACAAACCATATTGCCATGTATGTACCTATGTAGCAATCCTGCATGATCTGCACATGTACCCCGGAACCTAAAGTACAATGTAAAAAAACAAGGCTAGGCCGGGCGCTGTGGCTCACGCCTATAATCCCAGCACTTTGGGAGTCTGAGGCGGGTGGATCACGAGGTCAAGAGATCAAGACCTTCCTGGTCAACATGGTGAAAACCTGTCTCTACTAAAAATACAAAAATTAGCTGGGCATGGTGGCACACGCCTGTAGTCCCAGCTACTCGGGAGGCTGAGGCAGGAGAATTGCTTGAACCCAGGAGGCGGAGTTTGCGGTGAGCCGAGGTCGTGCCATTGCACTCTAGGTAAAAAGAGGGAAACTCCGTCTCAAAAAAAAAAGAAGAAGAAGAAGAAAAAAACAAGGCTATTCCTTACATTTTTTCCTTCAGATTTTTAATAGACTTTACAAGAAGAGTGGACAAAAGACTTGAACACTTTTCAAAGATGATATCCAGATGACCAATAAACATTTGAAAAGTTTGTTGTTATAATCTGCAGTTCTTTGCTTAAAGTTAAACATTTCTTTCTGTTATCTTTATTTACTTTTGTGAATTATCTGTTTATGTCTCTTATTTGTTTTGTGGTGTTAAAATGTTATTTGTTAATATTTAATTTATTTATAATTACACAAGTAAAATATAACCACATTGTTATGAAAATAATTACTGTTCTAGCTGATGTCACCCTTGATCATCAGCCTTAATCCCAGCCCCTTACTCAGTTCCAGTTCCAACAACCATTGTCAGTTTGATGTATAGCCCTGCAAACCTTTGTGTGTGTCTGTGTGTGTGTTGTAGAACAAATCTATCATAGCATTGTTCTGCTAGAGCTCTTTTTGTGTCAGTACAGATGCATTCTATTTAATTGCTGCATACTGCCCTAGTATACATATAATCATAGTTTATTTAACTCATTCCCTATCGAAGGACACTTGAGTTACTTTCACTTGTTTGCCATTACAACATTTCAGGCAACATCCTTTTACATTTACTCTGTCTTCCCTAATGTAGTTAATGAGAAATTGAATTTCTAGGCAGAAAGTGAATGTACTTTTATTTTCATGGATATTGCCCAGTTGCCTTCTAAGCTTGTTCCTTCCAACTTAACCTCCTACGAGCCCCCTATACCCTTATCAATAATTGGTATTATCACTGTAGTCCCAGTTACTCAGGAGACTGGGGCACGAGAATCACGTGAACCCAGGAGGCAGAGGTTGCAGTGAGCCAAGATCACACCACTGTACTCCAGCCTGGGCAACAGAGTGAGACTCTGTCTCAAAAATAATAATAGTTGATATTATCAAACTCTTTTAAGTTTTTTGCTACTTTATAACTGGTTTCAGTTAGCATTTATCTGATTACTAGTGAAGATGAACATATTTTAATGTTCTTTTGGCTATTTGTCTTTCTGTAAATTGCCTACTTAAATCTTCTACCCACTTTTACATTAGGCTGCTTTGGTTGTTTTCTATATTGTTTGTAAGTCCTATTCCATTATCTTTGCTTATATATGTTGTGTATATTTTCTCCATATGTAAACTGTTTATACAACGAAACATCTTTTATCATTTTTGTTGCATATTTCCCTATATCTGTTTGTCTTTTACTTGTTTCTCCCCCTTTTCCTGTTTAATTTTTTCATATTTGGCATTATTTTCTTCCTTGAATGTCTGGCATATTCACCAGTGGAGCCATCTGGGCCTAAATTTTTTGTTGTTGAAAGATTTCCAGTTATAGCTTCAATTTCTTTTAATAGTTTACAGAACTATTCATATTTCCTGTTTTCATGCCAGTGTTGGTAAGTTCTTTTTTTCTAGGAATCTCTCCATTCATCTAAATTTTCAAATTTATTAGCAAAAATATAGTGATATCCTTTTACTGTCTTTTTAATGTTTGTAGGATTTGTAGTGGTGTTCCATTTTTCATTTCTGATATTAATATTAGGACCTTTTTCCTTTTTTTATTAGTTACTCTTACCAGAGGTATCAGTTTTATTATTCTTTTTCAAAGAACTAGGTTTTGTTAATTCTCCCCAGTGAATGTTGATTTCACTTCATTCTTGAAGAATATTTTCAATGGGTATAGAATTCTGGTTTGTTGTTTTCTTTCAGCCCTTTGAAGATAGCATTCTGTTGTTTTTTGGCTTCCATTTTTTTCTTTCAGTCAGCTCTGTTTGAAAGTAATTGTCTTTTCTGTGGATAATTTGAATGTTTTCTTTGTCTTGGATTTTCTGTAGTTTAAGATATGTCTAGCTGTAATTTTCTTTTTTATTAGGATTGTAAATTTTCATTTTATGTCTGTTTTGCACATAGAAATAATCAGTGATTAGCTAATGGAATCTGTCTTTCCTTTGGTAATTTATTTATTCTCTGTGGGGAAGACTTTGCTCCTCTCTGCTACCAGACGTTAAACAAATTCTCTTTTGGATTTTCTATGGTATCAGTTTTGGAGATCTAAATTGTTTTTAGTATTTTGTCTCCGAATTGATAATCAATTATTCTAGCAAAATTTAAAACATAACTTTTTTTTTTTTTTTTTTTGAGATGGAGTCTCGCTTCTCACTCTGTCGCACAGGCTAGAGTGTAGTGGCACGATCTTGGCTCACTGCAACCTCCTCCCCTGGGCTCAAGCGATTCTCCTCCCTCAGCCTCCCGAGTAGCTGGGACTACAGGCCCTTGCCGCCAATCCCCGCTAATTTTTTGTATTTTTAGTAGAGACAGAGTTTTACTGTGTTAGCCAGGATGGTCTCAATCTCCTGACCTTGTGATCTGCCTGCCTCAGCCTCCCAAAGTGCTGGGATTACAGGCGTGAGCCACTGCACCCGGCCTAAAACATACTTTTAATTTAGCATTTATTTTAAATGCTTTTTTGTGTATTAAATTCTTATATATGGTTATAGAGTCTGTTGTAGGAGTAGCTGTTTGATGCCTGTAGCTGCTTCTACTTGAATATGCTTTAGTCCATTTTATTTAATTTGTATTCCTCGCTAATTTTCCAGGGCAGCACCCATGTTTTTCATGTAAAGTGTCTGGTAAAGATGTGAAGCGTTGTTCTGTTGGTGCTTGTGGAAAATTTTATCATGAAGCCTGTGTCCGCAAATTCCCCACTGCCATCTTTGAATCAAAAGGATTCCGCTGTCCTCAGCACTGCTGCTCTGCCTGCTCTATGGAGAAAGACATCCACAAAGCAAGTAAAGGTAAAATAGCTGAAGAAGGAGTCAAAGATTGTTGTTTTAAGTGCAGTGGCAAATAACATCAAGCATATATTTCAAACAACATAGGGCGTTCTCCCTCTGTATATCTCTAGCTTTAACAGTTCAGCCACAGTACATAGCATGTTAAGTAGAAATTACATTCCAAATTCAGACCATAAGAAGAAAATTCCATGTGTTCCAAATACCCTCAAAATCTTTAGGTAGGTGCCATATTGGATACCACCATCTCTGCAGCATTGGAACAAATAATGTTTTCTTTGGATGATCTGTAAGTGACTATTAGGCTTACATGTAGGGGCCATGTAGCATAGGATGACAGAGCCAGACTAGGGAAGACAAAATGCCTTTTATCTTACTATAGCTAGCATCGCATGGAAACCCAAAAAAGCCCAACTCTAGAAACTTCATTTTATGCCCCATTGATGCCTTATTAGATTCCTTTTGACTTGTCTTTAAACAGGCCGCATGATGAGATGTTTGAGATGTCCAGTTGCCTATCACACTGGAGATGCTTGCATTGCGGCTGGAAGCATGTTAGTATCCTCCTACATTCTCATCTGTAGTAATCATTCCAAACGGAGCAGTAATTCTTCTTCTGCTGTAAATGTAGGCTTTTGTTTCGTTTGTGCTAGAGGTGAGTGTCTAACTTTTCTCTTCATTTATTTTTGAGGTCATTGGCATATTTCTCCATTAACATAGAGTCTCAGCATTGGGAAAGGACTCAGGCCATCTAGTACAATCTCCTACCCAGTGCAGAATTCCACTGTAATATATCCCTGAGAGAGATGAACATTTCCAGTAACTTTTATAATGCTAGATGCCATAGTGTTAGAATATTAATTGTTCCATAAGTTAAGCTAAAATTTGCATTTCTAAAAATAACATAATTATAGTTCTTAGTTTTTCTGTTAGAGCATTAAAAGATTAATGTTTTCCCTTCTACAATTCTTCTATTCAAAGTAGATCCTTCCCATATCATAATCTTAAAACAGACCTTTCAACTGACTAAGACTTCACTTGGAAGGCAAGACTAGCACATTTATTTTTCAGTTGTTTATGTTGTGTTTTATCATAATGTTTTGGTCTGGCATTGAGGAAGGCCTGATGGGACACAGCCAAGGCAGCATATGTGGTGGTGTTAGTTCAGAGCCAGCCATGTGGGCTTTCTTATTGCCAGCTATTGATATTTAAGTATGCCAAGAGATTGATCAACTAAAAACAATACTGTGCCCCTGTGGGGGGTCAGTGAACTTGTGTTTGTGATAAATCTAAAACGGGACTTCTTTAGTTGACTGTTACACAAAATATCTGGCTTTATCTCAGCTATAATAAAAATAAAACTTTTTTGGTACTTAGCATTATAAAAACCAACTAATTGTTTTTGTTTTGTTTTTAATTTAAGAGCTAAGTTTTCTGACCTTCCCTTGGTGTGAACTATTCTCAAGGCCTCTAAGGCTCATCATGCCCATTAGATTCTATGTAGACCATACTAAAGATGAAAGTGGTTTTTGTTTGGTTGATTTTGCTTTAGGAGACAGTTATTTTAATTTGGTGAAAGTACCATAACTTTTTAAGAGTTTAGGTAGTATGATAGATCTTAGATGGTTTTGCTTTTATATCTCTCATTATGAAAAAATTACCTGGAGGTTGGCAGTAAAAGATTAAATAATGGTAGTCCTTTGTGGAGTAGCCAACAAGTTTTATAGTAGACACTACTTTCAGTTTGCCTGTTTTATAAGCACGTGTGACTGTCTGCCTTTGGAGCAGGAAGCACTGTGTCTTTCTGAAGTAAAGCAGGGACAACTGTATCCTGCTCTGAAACCTGGCTGGTATCATGGAGGAGTAGGTCTGAAATGTTTCCTGTCATATTGTAACAAGTGGGCACATAATAAATAAAAAGTTGTCAGTCATTGCCTTTCTCATCTCTGCATCCCTAAGAAAGTAATGATTAGAAGAAATTATTGTATTATCAGTTGTATGTTTAGCTTTAGAGTCTTTTAAACAGATGAGTGGCAGTGATAACAAAGTCCTCTTACTGCTTTGCAAACTCTATTGTACCATTCCTAGGCACCAACGTTTCCTGTCAGTGTATAAGCATGCATAATTTAGCCAGCATTTTAATATCAAGTTTATTGTGTTGGCTTATGTTGGGGCACATTCTAAATCAAATGCCATCAGTAGATTAATCAATATTCTCTTTTGCTCTACTTCATTCAATAATTGGGATACCTTTAAAATAGATATTTTCAGGCTGGGCATAATAGTTCATGCCTGTAATCCCACACTTTGGGAGGCTGAGGCGCGTGGATTTCTTAAGGCCCAGGAGTTCATGACTAGCCTGGGCAACATAGCAAGACCTCATCTCTACAAAAAATAAAAGAATTAGCCAAGCATGGTAGTGTGTGCCTATGATTCCAGCACCTCAAGAGGCTGAGGAGGGAGGATCACTTGAGCCCAGGAGTTCGAGGCTGCAGTGAGCTGTGAAACAAAATACAGCATTTTCAATTTAGGACAGCTAGAAAATGGTCTGCTTATAGAAACTCTATAACCATTTTGTTAGATTTGACTTACATGACTTGATTAAAATTCTGAGAATAATGTAAGTGGATGGAAAACCCATGTTTGAACAACAGAATCTGTATTTACATCTTATCAATTTGACAGTTATTCTGGAAGATTTACTGAATTTAAATGCCTATTTAAGCAAAATTATTTAATTTCCAAATATTTTAATGGTAAAACCTTGTATGGTAAACAAAAACCTTCATTTTGTTTTCTAGCATTTGACAAAGACTTACTGTAAATAGATCAGATGTTGGGAAGTCTTAAATCAAAAGTAATCAGAAGTAAATAATATATGTTCTTTTATAAGTATCTATAAAGGTCACCTTTTTTGAGGAGACATAACTGTAATAAATCTATACACACAGAAAGGAACACTTTAATCATTTATATTTGGGTATTAGAAAACTTAACTTGTTTTGCTTGCTTCTTGCCTCACAGAATTTTTCCCTCCACATAGATTTTCTCTTAGTTCTTGGTTATTGGGTGTTTCAGATAATCAAGCTACTTCTTAAGGACTGCAATGTCTGGAAATATTTTTTGAAATGTTTCAGGGTTTGGAGGAACATTGCTCCTCTTCCAACTCCCACCTAATCATGGAGTCACAAGAAGTGTGCAGACATTTTTCAATATAGTGTATATTCTTTAGCATCTCCTTTTATCTAGAGGGTTGTGTAAAATAAGATACTTAGCATTCTGTGCCTTTCTTTGTAATGGTAATGTTAAATGGATAATGTAGGCTGGAGTTTTCATTTAAACAGGAAATAATAGTAATTTATTTTGCATATGTAAGTCAAACTTTACTAAACATCATCTGAATGAATTGCCACAGTTTCCCTAAGAAGTTCTCTCTCCATGGTATACAGATGAGAACACTGAAACCCAGATTAAATAATTTACCTAAGGTCACAGAAGTTGTTAAATGGAGGGACCACTATTTGTACTTGATCATTCTTATTTCAAAGCCTATATTCTTTTACACTACACCGTCTCCCTCTAGTAAATGTATGAAGTTCATTTCAACATTATATAACTTTTTTTTTTTTTTTTTTTGCGACGGAGCTTCACTCTTGTTACCCAGGCTGGAGTGCAATGGTGCAATCTCGGCTCACTGCAACCCCCACCTCCCCAGTTCAAGCGACTCTCCTGCCTCAGCCTCCCGAGTAACTGGGATTACATGTATGCACCACCACACCCAACTAATTTTTTTGTATTTTTAGTAGAGACGAGTTTTCTTCATGTTGGTCAGGCTGGTCTCAAACTCCCAACCTCAGGTGATTCACCTGCCTCGGCCCCACAAAGTGCTGGAATTGTAGGCATGAGCCACTGTGCCTGGCCTATATAACTTTTATTAGAAGATTCTGGCTGAGCACTATGGCTCACGCCTGTAATTCCAACATTTTAAGAGGCCAAGATGGGAGGATTGTTTGAACCCAGGAATCCAACACCAGCCCGGGCAACACAGCAAGACCTCGTCTCTGCAAAAAAAAAAAAAAATCAAAAACTTAGCCAGGCATGGTGGTATGCACCTGTAGTCCTAGCTACTCTGGGGGTTGAGGTGGTAGGATCACTTGAGCCCAGGAGGTCAAGGCTGTAGTGAGCTGTGTTTGTGCCACTGGACTCTAGCCTGGGTGACAGAGCAAGACCCTGTCTCAAAAAAAAAACAAAACAAAAAGAAGATTGTCATATTGTTAGTAATTTCAGGTTCCATTCTGTCTTCTAGGTCAGAGATATTTCTCGAATGCATCTCAGTGTAGGGTAGCATCAGATGAAGATAATGCCCACAGAAAAAAGTAAATGGTAACATTCCTCCCCTTCAAAATGATCTCTAAATAAAACTGCTGCCATAATTTGTGTTGTAAAATCCTACATCATTATACACTGACCAGTAACCAAGGCAGAGGATACAGAAATGTCCCATGGTCTCACAGTTGCCTAGGTTTAGGAGTGGCTTATAGCTACATCATGAATTAACTGGGGGAAGAGGAAGGGAAAGAAGAGGGAACCTCAGGTAGCTTTAGTGTTTTCCTCTAAGTAGCATAGCTATAATTGGTAGATCAAAAGGATTACTTTTATTAACCCTTAAGTTGGTAATCACTTTATTTTGTGGCAGGGAAAAAATGAAAATGTTTGCACTACCTCAGTAAAGTTCAGGAAATCATGGCTCCTTTAAAATCATGTACCAGGCCTGGCACAGTGGCTCATGCCTGTAATCCCAACGTGTTGTAAGGCCAAGGTGGGAGAATTACTTAAGGCCACAAGTTAGAGACCAGCCTGGGCACAAAAGCTATTATAGACCCCATCTCTACAAAAACATTTTAAAATTAGCCTGAGGTGGTGACACATACCTATAATCCCAGCTGCTTGAGAGGCTGAGGCCAGAGGATCGCTAGAGCCCAGGAATTCAAAACTTCAGTAAGCCACAATCACACCACTACCCTCCAGCCTGGGTGACAGGGCATGACTCTGTCTCAAAAAAATACGATATAATTCACCACCCTTCAGCCTGGGTAATAGGGCAAAAGGCTGTCTCAAAAAAAAAAAAATACATATACGGTATATACACACACACACACACACACACACACACACACACACACACACAAACAATATAAATGAAATAAAACATGTACCATATTGATAGAGAAGAGTTTCATTATCTGGCAGAGAAAGTTAGGATTTCTTTGAGTGTGTCTGAAGATATGAATAGAGAAAAGGAGAGACTCTATTCTGCCTTAAAGCACTACTTGATATATTGAAGGTAGATAGGCTCTACTTACATTAAGTAAATGATTCTGATTTCTATCTCATTACGTGATATATAATATCATGTCATTCTTTGGGTTGTCGTCATTGTACATCCAAATATGCAGCAATGTAGCTTTGTTTTTCCTAAGGGGTTTTCAGTATGATGTCAAGTGTTGTTTATATCTTCAAATTATTTAAAGTTTTCTTCTGCAGTATATAGGTTCTATAATATATAGGGATAAGGAATTGAGTAGTTCAGACTCCCTTTGAAAACTGTAGAAAACCTTTCCGTCAGATCTTTCTTTTTTCTTCATATTCTCATTTTCACCCTCCCCACCCCAACTTTGAAGCATACATAATAGGTGTTGGTTTATTTTTTCCTCATGGAATCATGGGTAGTTTCATTGCAGCTCATCTCTTTCTGTTTGTTTCGTATAGGGCTGATAGTTCAGGACCATTCAGACCCCATGTTCAGTTCATATGCCTATAAGTCCCACTACCTACTGAATGAATCAAATCGTGCTGAGTTGATGAAATTACCTATGATTCCTTCTTCGTCAGCTTCCAAAAAGAAATGTGAGAAAGGTAATAATCAAAATAGTTTCTCTTGCTTTTATTTTTGCATTTCCTATTTTTTTCTCTTTCAATGTAGGGGGGAAATGTATGCCTGTCAAGCACCATCTGTTGCTTTTGGTAAATTCTGCCTTGGTGGTTGTGACTGTGTCTTCATATGGCTGCACAATTATTAAAAAGGGCTTAAAATAATTCCATTATTGCAAATTTTTACTTATTCTTCCCTTGAATAAATTTTCACACATTCCATATTTATAAGTTATTAAAATAGGAAGACTAGGATTTTGGTCAGTATAAATATAAAATCATATTCTAAATGTTCTTTCTCTTTTTCCTGGTGTGAAACTATCATTCAAGTTGGAATAGAAAAGATAGGTTATAATTTATTACTAACTTTCAACTAAATAACAAGGTAGGTTATTAAAAGAAGGAAACTAAGATACTGATACTTAAAAGGTTGCTTTTTGACATTCTGTCAAAAAGGTGTATCTGACATTCTGTCATTGTGCTTCTTAAATGTTTGGTTAAGATGCTATGAAAACTAGTTGCCCTTCCCTTAGGAAACATTGGTGGGAAGCTGATGGGGGAGAATACCCCTAATACTGGATGCTGGAAGGTAGCCTAGCTGAATTGTTGATGGATAATTATCCACACAGTACCAAGAGCTAAATGTATATTTCTATTCTCCCAGTTAATTTAACCTATGGAAGAGAACTTTATATTATGTTTAGTTTTCCATAACCTACCTGTTATAAAAATGATTTAACAAAGGTGTATTATTTGGGGAGTTATTATCCCACAGGGAAAAATAAATGAGCTTGAAAGGTGAGGGCCTTTTCCTATATACATTCCCATTATGATCTGGGGCCAGGTTCAGAATCTTTCAAGAAAACTTTACTCGTAACTAAATACACACACACACACACACACACACACACACACACACACACACACACACACACAATGTGTGTTTGAGACGGGTTTTTTTTTTTTTTTTTTTTTTTTGTGGGGTGGGGACTGAGTTTCGCCCTTGTTACCCAGGCTGGAGTGCAATGGCGCTATCTCGGCTCACCGCAACCTCCGCCTCCTGGGTTCAGGCAATTCTCCTGCCTCAGCCTCCTGAGTAGCTGGGATTACAGGCACGCGCCACCATGCCCAGCTAATTTTTTTTTTGTATTTTTAGTAGAGATGGGGTTTCACCGTGTTAACCAGGATGATCTCGATCTCTTGACCTCGTGATCCACCCGCCTCGGCCTCCCAAAGTGCTGGGATTACAGGTTTGAGCCACCGCGCCCGGCCTGACATGGGCTTTTGAAAAAGTTGTGTTGCCTGTTTGATGTATCTTTGCTGTTTGTCAGACATCTGAAGTGGCAACTCATGACTAAAAGAAAGGACAGCTAAGCAAGGTGGATTGAACATATTAGAAGTATTGATAAGACTATTGGCCTTTTTGGTTTTTTTCCCCAGTCATTATATCACTTTATTGGTGATACTTCCAAAACATAAAATGAACATAGGTTTGACTTACTCCATAGTTATTCTGCCTGAGACATTTTAGGAAATGCTTTATTTTCCTACTGGGACCTGTATAAAATTAGATTAATTCAGTTGTTGCTTATTTTGTTTTCAGTACTCAGTATTAACTTGGACATGAATTGAAATTATTTTGAGCCCTCTGTTTGCCTAGCTTGAACCATATCTTACTTCTCTTGCATCCTAGTTTTCTTGCATAGCACCAAGGTGGACCATTCATATTTTTATTTATTTATTTTTTATTTCCCTTGTGTATTTTAAACATTTTTATCATGTTGATTTTTCTCTGATGATTCTGGCTCTGTATTTCCTCTGAAATAAGACTTAAAATTAAGAAATATTCCATAATGTTAAAAATGGCCGGCCTGACTTTTCTACATCAGTGCTAATAATCACATGTCCTCTAAAGCTGTTTGCAGACTTTTCTTCCTGCTGGTCATTCCTTTCTGATGCAAAAAAATGAATAATCTCTGCTTGCAAAAATGCTGACAAAAGCAAGAAAAAAAATGAATAATCTCATTTTACTTTAAATTTATAGAAGAATTCCCTACCTAAGTTTAGAGCACTTGAGCATCTGATCTCTAGGTTGGTGAATTGAAATAGTTAATCCACATTGAGATGTAATCCAAGGAAAAAAAATCCTGATGATTGAAGTAAAAGCTTTTAAGCAGAGGAAATATAGCAATTTAATTCATCGTGGGTTGTATATGGATTTTCTTTTTGGTTTTATGTTAATCAGAAGTTTGAAAATATAGGAAGACAAGATTTTCTGGAAAATTGGTAGCAAGCCCTCAGAAGGTTGCAGCATGTGATTTGATAAAGTTTATAGAGGGCTCTTACCTTTTTGCTTATGAGACTTTAAATCTCGGTACACTCATGGGTTATAGACCTGATTTTCCAATGAAAAGATCCATTTTTTGCAGTAAATGCCTTTATTATATTTCGTCTTCAGTGGTTAACCACATTCTCTGTCACGTATTAAAAACATATTAGAAATACCTAATTTCCTCCCAGAATTTCATATTTCTTAGCATTTCAGACTATTTTGTTTGCCGCACCTGTTTTGGTCTCAATCCAGAGAGTATTTTGTGTATCTAAAAGGAAAGAGCTTTGATAGGGAACTTGAAGGGAGCTCCTTGCATATGATACGTCATTCTGTACTGATAACTACCTAATTTTATGCTATAAAGCAGTGGTTCTCAATATAAAGTCAGAGGAGATTTATGTAAACAAAATTTTTGAACTGTGTTTGATATTTCAGAAAATCTAACAGAATTACACATTTGTACAGAATCAGGGTGCATGAGTTTTGGTGTTTTTTTTTTTTTTTTTTTTTTTTTTTTTTTGAGACAGTCTCGTTCTATCACCAGGTGCCAGGCTGGAGTGCAGTGGCGCAATCTCCACTCACGCAACCTCCGCCTCCTGGGTTCAAGCAATTCTCTTGCCTCAGCCTCCCAAGTAGCTAGGACTACAGACGCACACCACCACGCCCAGCTAATTTTTTATATTTTAGTAGAGACGGGGTTTCACTATGTTGGCCAGGATGATCTTGAACTCTTGAACTCTTGACCTCATGATCCGCCCGCCTTGGCCTCCCAAAGTGCTGGGATTGTAGGCGTGAGCCACTGCACCCGGCCTGCATGAGTTATTAAAATTTGGCTATGATTTTAACAATTTAATATGATAATAGTAGTTTTGTTATTGGAATCAGAATCTCTGACTGGCAGTTTTATATTTTTTTGGCTAATAAAAATTGGAGAAATTGTTACTTTTAAAATGCAGATTTTGGCAGGGCATGGTGGCTCACGCCTGTAATCCCAGCACTTTGGGAGGCTGAGGCAGGAGGATTGCTTGAGGCCAGGAGTTCAAGACCAGCCTGGGCAAGATAGTGAGAGCCTGTCTCAAAATATAATCTCTATACAGAGAGAGTACACACACACACACACACACACACACACACACACACACACACACACGGGTGTTTTGGTTGTTGATAAAATACTTGAAATCATGTGGGTGCATGAGGAGAGAAAAGGGGATCCTTGGTGATGAAAAAATTGCAAACCACTGCTGTATAGCCTGTATATCTTCATCAAAAGGTAATGATAACATAATCACCAATTTGAGATTCTATGTTCCTTTTGCTTTTTCTTTATGGAAAGAGAAAAGTTCTGATCTATCTATTGGCTGTTTTCTTTATTGCTAATTATATTGTAAAGGGATTTAGTTAACCTTGGCACTGGATTAAAATACAATGATGACTTGCTTTCTTACCTCTGAAGGAGAAAAGAAAGTTGCTACTTACATGTTTGAAAAACCTACTTTCAAATCTACTTAGTCAAAAGATTTTATGTATCAATTTGGTCATATGTTAGGAGTTTAGCTTCTAAACTGATACCTCAATATCCCATAGGTTAAAGGAGTAAAGAGTACATATGTGCTTTTGATATTACTCAGAAGCTCTGACTTTCTGGCCACTGAAACCCTGAAAAGTAGCTAAATATGTTTGTTTGCTATTTTAATCCATCACTGTAGATATGATTCCGTCCCTTTGTTATTTCCCCCCAATTTGAATCAAATTTAATGTGCAGAAAAGGTAACTTTCTCCTTTTTCTTTCTTTTTCTCTCTCCTCTTTTCTCAGTTATTAAGACTGTTTATTTGTTTCAAGGTGGAAGATTGCTCTGCTGTGAATCGTGCCCAGCTTCCTTCCACCCGGAATGCCTGAGCATAGAAATGCCAGAAGGCTGCTGGAATTGTAATGACTGTAAAGCTGGCAAGAAACTACATTACAAGCAGATTGTTTGGGTCAAATTGGGAAATTACAGGCAAGTTTTTCCAAGGACAAAGAGGAAGCATTTAGTCATTGTGCAGACCAGTTTCATACCCTGGATGCAGAGTGACTTGGAGATAGATTAGGTAGACAGCATGGACCTACTTCCTTAAAAAAGAAAGAAAAGCACCATGTTTGAGTCTGAGTTCTTAAGGGGTTGGGAAGGTTGTGTTCCTAATTCATTATTGATTTTCGTTTTATTTTTCTTTGGGATTGGTGGGTTGACTGTTGTTTGTTTGTTTGTTTGAGCCAAGGCTGGAGTGCAGTGTTGTGACCTTGGCTCACTGCACCCTCCACCTGCTGACTCAAGCCATCCTCCCACCTCAGTCTCCAGAGTAGCTGGGATTACAAGCATACACCACGACGCCTGGCAAGTTTTTTGTATTTTTAGTAGAGACGATGTTTCGCCATATTGCCCAGTCTGGTCTCAAACTCATGAGTCAAGCTCTGTCCACCTCAGCCTCCCAAAATGCTGAGATTGTAGGCGTGAGCCACCATGCCCACCAATGTTTGTTTTTAAGTTCTGAAAGTTGTTTTATACTAATGGACTATGGACTACTAGATTTTGGAATAAAAGGTCTTATGTGGACAGTGGAGATAATTTTTTTCAAAAAAACTTTAAATTTTATTTAAATTGAATAAATATAGTGAGATGGGGTGTGGCCTCACTGTATTGCCCAGGCTGATCTCAAACTCCTAGGCTCAAGTGATCCTCCTGCCTCAGCCCACCAAAGTGCTAGGATTATGGGAATGAGCCACCACACTTGGCCTGAGATGATATTTTCTTTGTGTCTTAGTTAGATATATGTTGATTTCTTATTTCTAATAAAATCAAGTTTATATTCTGGCCAAAATAGCTCTTTGCCCCTGAATCTGGTCCATTTTGTTCTAGCTGAAAGCCCTAAACCATCTGTAAAGAGAAAACATTTTAGAATTTAAAGGAGATTATTCCATTAAGAGGCTTAAGGGAATGAAGCAGGAAGTATGTGAGTACCATTATTTTAATAATACTTTCTCCTTTAAGGATTTTAACGAGCCTTCACTGAACAGGTATACTGATACAGTTTGGCCAGGTACAGTGGTTCGTGCCTGTAATCCTAGCACTGTAGGAGGCTGGAGCGGGTATATTGCTTGAGCTGAGGAGTTCAAGACCAGCCTGGGCAACATGACAAAACCCTGTCTCTACAAAATCTATAAATATTAGCTGGGCATAGTGGCGTGCCAGGTGTCATAGCATCCTAGCTATTTGGGAGACAGTCTGGAGGATTGCTGGCTCCCAGGAGGTTATGGCTGCAGTGAGCCATGATTGTGCCACTGCACTCCAGGCTGGGCAACAGAGCAAGACCCAGTCTCAAAAAAAAAAAAAAACTTGAAAACTCTACATTTTGAGGCATATATTTACAATTTTACTAAGAAAATAGATACTTTTCAAGATAGCACAATAGAGTTCTGCTTTTCAGTTAGAAGCCTAGGTAAAATATATTTGTTTGTTTACTTGTTGAGACAGAGTCTCACTCTGTCACCTAGGCTGGAGTGATCTTGGCTCACTGCAACTCCACCTCTCAGGTTCAAGTGATTCTCCTGCCTCAGCCTCCCAAGTAGCCGGGATTACAGGCACCTGATACCACGCCTGACTACTTTTTGTATTTTTAGTACGGATGGGTTTCATCTATGTTGGCCAGGCTCGTCCCGAACTCCTGATCTCAGCTGATCCACCCGCCTCAGCCTCCCAAAGTGCTGGGATTACAGGTGTGAGCTACCACACCTGGCTGTAAAATATAGTTCTAGAAAATTTCCAACATACCGTAATTCTTTTAGCAAGAGCTATGTTCTCTCTCCCCCGGCTTTTTTTTTTTTTTTTTTTTTTTTTTTTTTTTTTTTTTTTTTTTTTTGAGACGGAGTCTAGCTCTGTCACCAGGCTGGAATGCAGTGGCATCATCTTGGCTCACTGCAACCTCTGCCTCCCAGGTTCAAACGATTCTCCTGCCTCAGCCTCCTGAGTAGCTGGGAGTAGGCATGAGCCACCACACCCAGCTAATTTTTGTATTTTTAGTAGAGATGGGGTTTCACCATGTTGGCCAGGATGGTCTTCATCTCTTGACCTTGTGATCTGCCCACCTTGGCCTACCAAAGTGCTAGGATTACAGGTGTGAGCCACCATGCCCAGCCTGTTCTGTCTCTTTTAAATATGCTACATGTTTACCTATTTAAATTTTAGAACTTCATTTTTAGTTGGGATCTGGGGTATTAAGATCAAAAGATCAAACCTCCCCCTATTTTTCTTGCTTTTGCGGTTTTTTGTTTTTGTTTTTGTTTTGAGACAGAATCTCGCTCTATCCCAGTCTGGAGTGCAGTGGCGTGATCTCAGCTTACTGCGACCTCTGCCTCCCGGGTTCAAGCAATTCTCCTGCTTAAGCCTTCCAAGTAGCCGAGATTACCGATGTGAACCATCACGCCTGGCTAATTTTTGTATTTTTCATAGAGACAGGGTTTTACCATGTTGACCAGGCTGGTCTTGAACTCCTGACCTCGTGATCTGCCAGCCTTAGCCTCCCAAAGGGCTGGGATTACAGGTGTAAACCACCAAGCCCGGCCTCCACTTATTTTTCAATATACAACAAAAACCCTCTAAGTTCTTTTTTAAAATTGACAATTTGAATACATACATAATTTTATACTTTCTGGCAAAAGATATCATAAAATGTTAAAAGATTACTGTCAAACTGGAGGAAGATACTCGCTTTTCTACATTCAATAAGAAAACCCAAAAACCTCATTAGAAGAAGGGGCACAGAGAGAAAGAGCCTATTTGTAAAAGATAGTAAATAGGAAATAAAGATGGGAAAATGCTCAACCTCACTAACAATAAATGCACATTAATACAGAGAAGTTTTTTTCCCCAATTAACAGATTGGCAAAGATTTAGAAGATTAATAATTTTGTGGCCAGTAAGGGCATGGAGATTTAAACGACCTCTTCCCCCTAGGGCAGTTAGACATCACATATCAAAACTGTAACTGTGTGTATCCTTTGACCCAGCACTTCCACTGAAATAAATTTATTCAAAGAAAAAAATGAATAATCAGGCAAAAATGTGTTTATAAGGGTATTTATTGCAGTATTATTTCAATCACAAATATTTAAATAATCCAAATAGTAGAGGATTTGTCAGATAATCATGGTGTATCCATGTTGTAGAATACTGTGAAGCCAATACAAGGATAATGCAGGTCTATACAGTAACATGAAAAGCCATCCATAATACATAATGTGTTAATACATTTTTTTAAATTATAGATGTACATACATCATTGTTGTTTTCGGGGTGTGTGTGTGTGTGTGTTTTGAGACGAGTCTTGCTGTGTCACCCAGGCTGCAGTGCAGTGGCATGATCTCAGCTCACTGCAACCTCCACCTCTCAGATTCAAGAGATTCTCCTGTCTCAGCCTCCCAAGTAGCTGGGATTACAGGCACATGCCATGATGCCCAGCTAACCTTTGAATTTTTAGTAGAGATGATGTTTCACCATGTTGCCAGGCTGGTCTTGAACTCCTGACTTCAGGCAATCCGCCCGACACAGCCTCCTAAAGCGCTGGGATTACAGGCCTGATATATGTGTTTTTAATACCTGGAAAGAAATACATCGAATGTTAATAGTGTCAAGCATGAGATTACAAGGAGAAGCATTTTCACTTTTCTCTTATACATTTCTGGATTGTTTTAATTTTTAAAAGAACCTTATGCTGCTTTCGTAATTGAAAAACATTTATCTTTCTGGTGTGGAGAAGGCTGCACAGTTTGAAAATTAATACATTTAAGACTTTCCTAGGTAAGAAATATCTAAAACAATGTAAGAAGCCTTCAGATCTTCAAATAAACTTCAGAGTAATTTTTTTAAAGTTATGAATACGAAAATATATTTGACTTATTATAATACTTAATTTTTAATTACATTTTTTTAAAAAAACCAAAACAGTGCTCCAATTAAGTTCACAGTCCAATGAGATTTTATATCTAGGTCAGAGTCTTCTTTATGTTTTGGAAAAACTTCCATCCATGAACAAATTCTTTTATTTTTATTTTTGAGACTGAATTTCACTCTTGTTGCCCAGGCTGGAATGCAGTGGCACAATCTCAGCTCACCACAACTTCTGCCTCCCAGGTTCAATCGATTCTCCAGCCTCAGCCTCTCGAGTAGCTCGCATTATAGGCATGCGCTACCATGCCCAGCTAATTTTGTATTTTTGATACAGACAGGGTTTCTCCATGTTTGTCAGGCTGGTCTTGAACTCCCAACCTCAGGTGATCTGCCTGCCTCAGCCTCCCAAAGTGCTGGGATTACAGGCATCAGCCACTGCACCCAGCCCATGAACTAATTCTTAATGTATTTATTTCCAGTCAGGCCCAGTGGGCTGCATGAAGCTGTTTATTTTCAATAACTAGTTACTCCAATGTGTTGCTTCATAGGGGAAAATATGAGGACCTGGAACAAACCCTGGCAGAATGTTTGCCTCTTCCTAACTTACGTTAGTGAGGGCAGTAATTGTATATATATTTAATTCCCTTAAAATGGTTTGGAAATAAATAGAGCCTGCCCTGAGAATGAACCATATTGATCACAGAAAATGTGGTTTTTGTTTGGTTTACAATTTGAACATGGATTCTTACCTGTGTTTTTAATTCTTAGATGAACAGCAGGGTACCTTTCAGGTGACACTTATCAAGTTCTGTAATATTAATATGGGCGTGCAATCATGTCATCATGTATCTTCTCAATAATACAGTATGTGTTAAAAATTGTTTTATTAGGCATATCTAAAATAAGAGATTAAAAAAATTAAGTCTATGTATATTTACCACAAAAGCCCATGAGGTTGGCCTCATTTTCTGACCGTTAGCTTCATCATTCAGTTCCTGATTTATCTGCTTGCTAGAAACTATCAGATTTCCTCACAGGTAGTTTCATTTAGTGACTGCTCTAGTATTCAGTTATCATAGCCTAAAACAGTTATATTTTCATTCTGTCCTCTGTTCCATGTCTATTATGATCTAAGATGAACTAAATTCTGAAATACAAACTGATACAAAACCTAGTACCTTTGACTGAGAGGTGACTAGAGACTGAATGCTGATTTGAATGGGAGTGGTCATTCTTTACTACAGCGTCAGTTTATACTCAAAATGATTCCACTGACGACTAGAAATCAACTGCTATACCTTGAAGGATAATCTTAGTATTAAGTTTGGGGGTGAAACATGACTTTTCTTTTTTTTTTTTTAACCCCACCCATCGAAATGTAACTTTTCTAGGATTGAAATTAGGTTTGGAATATCATTGGGTAGTAGGTTCAGTATGATTTTATTATTACATTTTAGAACATATTTTCATGATATATATTTTATAAATACAAAATAATTTTTACAAGAAAGTAGATCAGGTGTTTAAGGCCTAATTTCTTTAGTCTGTGTGCACTGTTTCATTAATTAATTTGTTAATTTTTTTAATGATATGTGACATTTTATGTTCTTAGAATCTGAATGAAAATTGCAAAATACAAAACCTTTTTTCCCTTCTGCCAACCTTGTAAATAATGTGATTTCTTTTTTGCCTTCTTGATCTAAAATTGCTTTTGTTTTCAGATGGTGGCCAGCAGAGATCTGCAACCCCAGGTCTGTGCCACTAAACATCCAGGGCCTTAAACATGACTTGGGGGATTTCCCTGTGTTCTTCTTCGGTTCTCATGACTACTACTGGGTACACCAGGGCAGAGTGTTCCCTTATGTTGAAGGAGACAAAAGCTTTGCTGAGGGGCAGACTAGTATTAACAAGACCTTCAAAAAAGGTAAGCTGGATGATGTTTACAGTGACTCAAAACTACAACTTCAGCGTTGGTTTCTCAACATCTTCTCACCTCTTTTCTGGTATTAGAGAATTTTCATTAGGCATTATGATCCTCTGTCTATAAGCTTCCAGTCACATTAGAACCAGGTTTGAAATACATTTCAATATTGTAGACTGTGCTGTGTATTTGAAAGGAATTTCTTCAGTGATCTTTATAAACACAGATTATTCTAGGAATAAATCTTTTTTTTTTTTTAAGTCAAGGTCTCAATCTGTTGTCCAGGCTGGAATGCAGTGGCACGATCACAGCTCACTGCACCCTTGAACTTCGGGGTAAACCAGTCCTCTTGCCTCAGCCTCCCAAGTAGCTGGGCTACAGGTCCCCGCCATTATGCCTGGCTAACTTTTGTATTTTTTATAGAGACAGGATTTCACCATGTTGACAAGGCTGGTCTCGAACTCCTGGGTTCAAGCGATCTGCCCGCCTCAGCCTTCCAAAGTGCTGGGATTACAGCAATGAGCTACCAAACTCAGCCTGAGAATAATCTTTTTAATCAAGTGAAGTTCCTTTGCCACAAAAGAGTACTAAAGACTTCCATGAAAAGCCTTACAACTGCTTTTGCAATTGTAAAATTTGCCAGCAAGTTTGGCTTTCTGGTAAGAGTAAAATGAATTTAAATCTAGTACAAGGCAAAAAGCTGCTCTTAGGGTCACTTGGAGACCTCTGATCATTGAAGTGGAGCCTCTTCCCTGAGGCAGCAGCATGCACAGAGCATAGTGTTCAGTGAGTTGTATCCTATTTCATTGTTACCCCATCCTGGTGGTAAACAGTAACTTCCAGAAAATAATTTTAAAAAGAACATCTCAGGCCAGATGCAAAGCATTGGGAAGGCAGTGTAAAACAACTATCCCATCAATTTTCATTTGGTTTTTGGTATTTACATACTTTGCATTGTCTTATTGGCAGCACTGGAAGAAGCTGCAAAACGTTTCCAGGAATTGAAAGCACAAAGAGAAAGTAAAGAAGCCCTAGAGATTGAAAAAAACTCAAGAAAACCCCCTCCCTACAAACACATCAAAGTAAGTCTTTATCTCTGGCCTGGGACTGCCAAATAAAATAAGAAAGTCTTTACTATGCAAACATTGGTATTTAATAGATGAGATGAAATGCATTGCTCTCTTAGTGGTTAAAGACCCTTTGTGACTTGTGCAAACTTTTGCTAATTGTCAGTCTTCTGTGAAACAGAGCTCCTGTTGGAAGCATCAGATGGGAGCCATAGCTATTATTGCTGTGAAATCCTGTTCTTGTTCGACCAGGTTACCCTGCCACCAAATGAGACTATAGGTTTTACTCCCTTTTTTTCAGAGAACCCACAGACAAGCGTATTTTCTCTGGTTTTCAGTTATGAAATTTCCATCTAATGAAAGTAGAAATAGCCAGGATAAATACTTGAAAATTCACATGAGACTTTGATATTTTTGTCAACTAAATGGCAAGAGATGGTTATTAATCTCAGCTTATTCATGGTGAAAGATAAAGAGCCTTTCTTGGAGTCGCACCATGAGGTAGTAGCTTGGATGTTTTAGATGTTCCTGTTTATGTTGCCGGATGACTTACCTGCTTCCTCCCTCTTGTTTGTGATTTTGTTTTCTAGGCTAACAAAGTAATAGGAAAGGTGCAAATCCAGGTTGCTGACCTGTCAGAGATTCCCCGCTGTAACTGCAAGCCAGCTGATGAAAATCCTTGTGGCTTGGAATCAGAGTGTCTGAACAGAATGTTGCAGTATGAATGCCACCCGCAGGTGTGCCCAGCTGGAGATCGTTGTCAGAACCAGTGCTTTACAAAGAGGCTGTACCCTGATGCAGAGATCATCAAAACAGAGCGGAGAGGCTGGGGCCTCAGGACCAAAAGGAGCATTAAGAAGGTAGCACGGATTACCTGCTGCAAAAAAAAAAAAAAAAAAAAAAAAAGAAGGTAGCATGGGATGGGGTTGTGTGGCGCGGAAGAGACCAGAACCTGAGCCTTTTAGGAATGCTTCAATAGGGTGTAGTTCTAGGGATAAAATAAACAGAGATTTATGGTAAAATTTTAGAACTTCCCATGTTGAGAGTTTGGTACTTCTTGAGCAGAGAGGAGTGGTAGGAAGAAGACAGTGATAAAATGTGCTTAAACTCTGAGTATTTAACCAGTGGCTCGTCATAAAAAGGAGAGAAGGGGCCAGGCGCCGTGGCTCACGCCTGTAATCCAAGCATCTTGGGAAGCCAAGGCGGGCGGATCACCTGAGGTCAGGAGTTCAAGACCAGCCTGGCCAACATGGTGAAACCCCATCTCTACTACAAATACAAAAAATTAGCTGGGTGTGGTGGCGGGCAGCTGTAATTCCAGCTATTCGGGAAGCTGAGGCAGGAGAATCGCTTGAAAGTGAAGGTTGCAGTAAGCCGAGATTGTGCCATTGCACTCCAGCCTGGGCAACAAGAGCAAAACTCTGTCTCCAAAAAAAAAAAAGGCGGGGGAGGAGAGAGGGAACACTGGTAATTTCTATGTGAAACAGTTTTTACTTGTCTTTTTATTGTTTTAAAGACAGGGCCCCAATTCTGTTAACCATGCTGGAGTACAGTGCTGTGTTCATAGCTCACTCAAGCCTTGAACTCCTGGGCTCAAGGTATCCTCCCACTTCAGCATCCCAAGTAGCTGGGGAGGGTCTCACTACGTTGCCCAGGCTAGTCACAAACTCTTGGACCCAAGTGATTCTTCTGCCTTGGCCTCCCAAAGTGCAGCAATTATAGGCATGAGCCACTGTGTCCAAACTAAAATTACTCTTGACATTTTTCTACCTTTTAAAAAAAATCAGCTTTGTAATTTAAAAATACCATCTAATGTAGTAAAGAAAAGTCATACAGTATAATACAAAAAAGATAGTGGAGTGAAATTCTTCCTTCATCCCTCCAGTTCTTGATTTCCTCATCAAAGATAACCATTGTTAATAGTTTGAAGGGTAATCTTGTAGAACTTTTTCTATATAGTTATAAACAAACATATATAAAAATACAGAGGTTTTTTTTTTTAGTATTTTCTAACCATAAATATGATCGGACATTGTTTTCTTCCCATTCACACACTGTATCATAAATACATTTGTGGCAATACATATAGATTTTACTTCATTCTTTATAACAGTCTCGTTTCAATCATAGTAAAATGTACCACACTGTATTTATTTAACCTGTTTCCCAATAAGTAAATAAATAATTTAACCTATTTCTCAATAAATAAATATTTTTAAATTTCATAATGAATGTTCTTGGTCATCTACCTTTGTGCACCTATTTCTGTAGGTCAGATTGCTTGAAGTGAATTCAGTTATTCGGTACGTGTTTATTAAGCTGCTTCCTATGTGGCAGGTACTATTCTTGGCACTTGGAAAACAATAGTGAACAAGGCACATGAAACCCTTATCTTAGTGGATCTGCTTGAGGAGACAGATAATAAACATATATATAATGCTGAGTGCCGCTAACTTCTGTAAATAAAAATAAAGCTGGAAAAGGGGCTAGCTGGTGACAGGGATTGCGCTTTTCAATTGATTGGCTCAGGGAGGCCTGAGGAGGCGCCATTTGCCCTGGGTGTAGTAGAAAGCCACGCAGGTGTGTGCAGGAGAAGAGCAAGTCAGACTGGAGGCAGATAGCTGTAAAGGCTGCAGCATGCTCCAGGAACAGCAAGGAAGCTCTGTGCCTGGGGAGGAGTCACAGGAGAGGAGACTGTGGGGAGAAGGGCAGCCACTGTGGCTAGATAAGATGGGGCTTTACTGGCCATATCCGCCATGGGATGGGGAATGTCTCAAGGATTTTACTAGGGAGTGACTTGATCTGATTTGATCTATTAGTTTTCTATTGCCACATACAAATATTACCACAAAGTTAACAAATTAAGACACAACACACATTTTATTATGTCTCAGTTAATATGGGTCAGGAATCCAGGCAATCCTTACCTGGGTCCTCTACTGAAGGTCTCACCAAGTAGCAATCGAGGTGCTGACTGTGGCTGGGTTCTCCTCTGTGGCTGGACTAGGGAAGGATCTGCTTCCCTGCTTGCACGGTTGTTGGCAGAACTCCATCCTCTAGCTATAGGGCTGGGAGACTCCGGTTGTTTTTGTTTTGGAGTGTGTTTGTTTGTTTTGTTTTGTTTTGTTGTTGGCCAGGAGCTACTCTCAGCCTCCAGAGGCTGCCCACAGTTCCTTGCCACATGGGATTCCCAGCATGGCCACTTGCATCTTTACAGCCAACAGGGGTGAGACACTACAGGAAGATACACACTAAAGTCTTAGGTCATAAAGTCACAGAATCACCCCCTCACCCACGCCATATTCTGTTGGTTAGAAGCTAATCACAGGTTCTGCTCACACTCAGCAAGTGAGGGGGCAACACAATGGTATGAATACCAGCAGGCAGGTGTCGCAGGGGCCAGCTGAGAGTCTGTGTGCCACACTTGCGTTTTGAAAGGATAACTGTGGCTGTGCTGTGGAGAACTTATGATACGGAGGAAAGAGTGATGAAAGGGGGGCCATTAGAGTCGCTCAGGAGAAAGACGATGGTGATGTGGTACCACTGGGGTTGTAGTTGAGCCAGGAGGGAAATGGTTGGATTTCTGACATTTTGAAGGTAGAGCCAACAGGATTTGCTGATGTATTGATATGTGGATTGGGCTGCTTGGTCAAAGGCCAACTACATCTAAAACATCATTGTATAATGCAAAATGTTTTATATAAATTCAGTGTCATGTTATCATATATAGAATTTTTTGCCTATGATTGCACAGGAGTTCATGGGGCCGTCCTGAAATCCATCCACTTTAATATTGTGTTAACCCCTTTTAATAGTAGTTGCACTTATTCTAAAATGTGTTGTAAGATAACATTAAATTAATAATATAATCAAGAGAATAAAATACAATCTTGATTTTCCTGCTCTTTAGCACCTGAGGGATTGCTGATGTAAGACAATTGGTCTTTTACAAAATAGCTAGAAATATACAATAATTGAAAAGTGTAATCATAAAGACATAGCAACACAAAAAAGCTATTTGGTGCACTTATAGGAAAGAAGCCCAATATGAAATAGAATGTGTGTGTCAGTCCCCTTCTTTCCACATAGAACAGAGTCCTGAAAATGTATGCCAGTCAAACTGGGGACTTCTTGTTAGGAAGTTGTTTCTTTCTCAGAAAAAAATTTAAGGTATTTAATATTCAGTTGCAGCCTTTTTGCTGCAGTCTTTAAGGACAGATCTGTGGCATTTTTTAAGTTATTGAATTTGTTACAATTTTTTGTTCACAATTGAATTCACAATTAATGGTTTTTAAGTCTAGTAAGAAACTCTTTGAGGCTAAAGATCTGTCACTTTTAGGACATCTGAAACATTTCCATCTTTACTTACAGTGATAACAAGTTTGAGACTTGCTCTCCTCATATTTGATAACAGCACTTAATTTTTCTGTATTTACTCATTTTCATAGACTAGTAAGTATAAACCATAATAAATCATGATTAAGCTTTTAAAGTCACAAAACTATTTCTTCAAATGAAATCTTACTTTGAACCCCAGTGTGTGAAAAAAGAAGCAGTAGAGCTGATTTGGTTGAAATTCTCTATAGTTTGCACTAAAGAAAATTTGCCCTAAGCCAGGCGGAGTGGCTCACTAATTCCAGCACTTTGGGAGGCCGAGGCGGGTGGATCACTTGAGGTCAGGAGATCGAGACTAGCTTGACCAACATGGTGAAACACCATCTCTACTAAAAATATAAAATTTGGGAGGCTGAGACAGGAGAATCGCTTGAACTCTGGAGGTGGAGGTTTCAGTGAGCCAAGATTGTGCCATTGCACTCCAGCTTGGACAACAAGAGTGAAACTCCGTCTCAAAAAAGAAAAAGAAGGCCAGGCGCGGTGGCTCACGCCTATAATCTAAGCACTTTGGAGGCCAAGGTGGGTGGATCACCTGAGGTCGGGAGTTCAAGACCAACCTGACCAACATGGTGAAACCCTGTCTTTAAAAAAAAAAAGAAAAAGGCCAGGCGTGGTGGCTCACATCTGTAATCCCAGCACTTTGGGAGGCCAAGGTGGGCAGATCACAAGGTCAGGAATTTGAGACTAGCCTGGCCAACATGGTGAAACTCATCTCTACTAAAAATATATTTCTTTAAATTAGCCAGGCATGCTGGCATGCACCCATAATCCCAGCTACTCTGGAGGCTGAGGCAGAAGAATTACTTGACCCGTGGAAGTAGAGGTTGCAGTGAGCAGAGATCGTGCCATTGCATTGCAGCCTGGGTGACAAAGCAAGACTTCGTCTCAAAAATATTTTAAAAAGGGGAAAAAAAGAAGAAAATTAGCCCTAACATCATCAAGTATAGTAACAGTAGGTGCAGCCAAGATGGTAGTACAATTCTCTGCTACCCTTCAGTATCATACCACAGTGCAAAATGATGCTTATCAGCTGATGACAAAATCCAAACTAGATACAGGAAAAGCCATTTGAGGCTGATAGGTGCAAAATGTCCATGTCCTTTGTGAGACAGGACTGGAAGGAAAAAGTGAAAGAAATTAACTTTATGGTGCTGCAGTTACAGATGAATTTTATTTTTTTCCCTTGAAACAGAGTCTTGCTGTGTCACCCAGGCTGGAGTGCAGTACAGTCACAGCTCGCTGCAGCCTTGAACTCTTGGGCTCAAGTGATCCTCCTGCCTCAGCATCCCGAGTAGTTGGGACCACAGACATGCACCACCATACCTGGCTGATATTCTTTATTTTCTGTAGAGATGGGGTCTCACTGTGTTGCCCAGGCTGATCTCAAACTCCTGGCTCAAGCAGTGCTCCTGCCTTAGCCTCCTAAAGTGCTAGGATCATAGGCGTGAACCGCCACACCTAGCCTGTTTTTGTTTTTCTAACTGAATTCCTTGTCATAGCTTATACAGTAGATAAAAATAGGAGAGAGAAAAAGCCAGAGGTCACCTCTGGTGGTGGCTGCTCTACAGCTGAAACGGTATGTAGCTCCGTGAAGTAAACCAGTGCTCCTCACTGAGCTCATTCTCCCCATGCTGCCAAGGAAGAGGCAGGGAAGTTCGGGCCCTTCTAGTTTAACCATTTATTTCTTTTCTCTTTATTATAGAATAATATTTGTTTATCAATAGAAAAAGATTAAATATTTTTAAAACCATTGGCTTATGTTCTAAATAATTTTCCACAATCAGAAAAAGTGATGCAGTACTTCTCTTTAGATATTGACTACCAATAGTTCTGTAATACTAAGAGCTGTGAGAAAGGCTAGTGGAAATTTGTGAGGTGGGGGAGGGAGGGAGAATGGGACAGAAATCTGATAAAATAAGCCAATTCATTTCTGTTTTTCAAGACATTTATTTTCCTCTAAAGTATATTAGTAAGACTGGCAAATCCTTATAGAGAATGTTGACCTAGATTGAATCAGCAAAACTTCTGAGGTGAAAGGTTAATGATAATGTAATTATAAACACAAAATGTTGAATGTACAATATTTACTCTTATTTTAAAAGGAGCTTATCACTGTTATCACTGTATGCCTGTTAGAACAGCTAAAATGATAAATAGTGGCAATCCCAGATGCAGGCAGGGACATGGAGAAAGTGGATTTCATGAACTGCTAGTGGGAGCATCCAACAGGACAGCAACTCTGGACAGTAGTTTGGCAATTTCCTTAATAAGGAAACATACACTCACCATTTGGTGCAGCAGACGCACTCCTGGCCATCTATCCAGAAAGACGAAAATCTATGGTCCACGAAAACTTTCACCAGAATGTTCGTGGCAGCTTTATTTGTAAAGCCAAAATCTGGGAACAGTCCAAATGTTCTTCCATGGTGAATGGCTAAACAAACGGCAGTGGTACGTCCACGCTGTGGAACACGACTCAGAGACTGAAAAAGAACAAACTGCTGATACACTCAGTACCCTGGGTGGATCTCAAGGGAATTTGCCTGAGTTTTTTTCTTTAAAGCCAATCTCAAAAGGTGCTGTACTATATTATTCCATTATAAAACATTCTTGAAATAACAAAATTCTAGAGATGGAGAACAGATGAGTGACTGCCAGGAGCCAGGATGGGATGAGTGGAGGAAGGATGGAGGAAGGGTGTGATCATAAAGGAGTGAGTGTCACAAGGAATCTCTGTGGTGAGGCACCAGCTCTGTATCTTGATTGCAGTGATGATTACGTGATTCCATGCCTGCTAAAACCGCATAGAACTGTATACATACACAAATGCATGCATGTAATTTTGGTAGTCTGGATTAGACCAAGTCAAATTTCTGGTTTTGATATTGTACTGTAGTTATGTCAGATGTTACCATTGGGAGAAACTGAGTGAATGTTACCAAGATTTCCCATAGACTATTTTTGTCACTTCCTCTGAATGTCAGTAATTACTTCAAAAGAAGCTTAAAAACAGAAACAGAGCTCACTTGTTTCAGATTCAGATCTCTTCCAGGTCTTACCCCGAAACCCGCATAGCCACAAACTAGTAAAGTCTGTTACAATCTAGCTTCAAAGGCTAGAGCTAGCTTTATCCTAAACCCAGCGATGCACCACATGTTGTCACTTGGGCTATAAAAACGGTATTGTCAGCGCAAAAAGGCAAGCAGATTGTCACCTTATGAAGCACTTACACCAGAAAAATAATGCCACTTGAATAAATAGCCATTTCTTTCTAAGGTTGAAGTTGTATTTTCAGGGTTCTCTTTAATTATCTTGGGTTATACATGTGTTGTTAAGCAATGCTTTATATAATACGCTGATTTTAAGTTACATATTGCACATTTCTCTCCAGGGTGAATTTGTAAATGAATACGTCGGTGAATTAATTGATGAAGAAGAATGCAGATTGCGAATCAAGCGAGCCCACGAGAACAGTGTAACTAATTTTTATATGTTAACTGTTACCAAGGTAAAATTGCTTTTTTTTTTGTAAGAAAAAGGGATTTTTGTTTTTGTTTCATTGTCTTAATTTGAACTCAGTTTCTTTTAATTTGATTTTTCTTCGGGCAGAGCATAATGATTTGCAGTTGCTAGTGTAGTGCCTACTATAATGTGCTAATTACACCAGAGTACAAAATGAATGATTACTGAAGCCTTGTACATGTCATGTGAGAACACACTGAGTGAAAATATACTGAAGTAGAGAATCAACTCTCTAATTCTAAGTTATAAACGACCATTACTAAAGTTCTGCGGTAGCCTAAACTCCAAATTGTTCTGTATATTAACACTTTTTGGTGGGGCATGGTGGCTCACGCCTGTAATCCAAATACTTTGGGAAGCTGAGAAGAGAAGATCACATGAGCCCTGGAGTTTGAGACCAGCCTGTGTGACATAGGAAGACCCTGTCTCTACAAAAAAATAAAAATAAAGTTAGCCAGGCATGTTGGCATGTGCCTGCGGTCCCAGCACCTCAGGAGGCCAAGGTGGGAGGATGACTTGAGCCCAGAAGGTCAAGGCTGTAGTGAGCTGTGATCGTACCACTGCATTCCCGCTTGGGCAACAGAGCAAGACCCTGTCTCAAAAAAAAAAAAAAAAAAAAGAAGGAAGAAAGAGGAAAATAATGAATGTTGTCATAAGAAAAATGACAGTATTTATCAGCAGCATGAAAAAAAAAAAAGAAAAATGACAGTAAAACTGCTAGTTTAATCCCTACAGTCATAAGACCTATTTGATACATATTACATCCATTATCTCAGTTAATTTTTTCATCAGTTCTCTGATTTACAGAGGACGAGAAACTGATGTCCAGCCATGATAAGTGATTTGTTGACTATTTTGTTAACAGTTTTGAGAACCAAGACTAGTACCCATATTTCCTGTGTTCCAGGCTATCGCATCTCTAGAACTGAGATTCTGAATATCATTAAAGTAAGAAAGAGAGCTTAAAAGTATTTTAACTGATATTTCATTGTTTGAAAGTTTTACAACTTTCATAAACATGTTTCATAAATATCAGTTAAAATGCCATTCTTTATGATTACTGAGATCTGGCTCCTTCAACCCTATCCTCCCTGCCAGTGGCCCCTCTAGCCTTCTTGACAGCACTTAAGAGGCTCAGTTCTCTGGAGCGTATCAAGAGTATTAGAGTTCAAATTCAGGAAACCTAAACATTCAGCTTTTAAATGTATTTTGAACTTATATAAGTAAAAACAGAGTAAATAGATAACCACTGGAGAATATTCCAAACAGTGTCCCTTCATCAAACAGATCTCCAAGTTTTGTTTCTCCATTTTCTTTCTTCTTTCTGGCCTAAGCTCTCACATATCCCCTCCTCTACTAGTTTTGCTTCCTGCTTGGAGCGGGAAAGGAGGGCTGACAGCAGAACACCAGAGTACTTATCAGTACTTTGAGCTCTCTAATCAGAAAATGCCATTCCTAAACCTCTGGCCCACTAATCTTCTAAATAGCATTATTCCATGGTCTACTTGTTTCTAGAAGCAAACTTAAAAAGCAACTAAATCCCACTTTATCCTAATTACTTGACTTTGACTTGAAGGTCATCAAATAAAGGAGAGAACTTAGTAAATTGCCCAGACAGCCTTACATTTCCTGATTTGTCAGTTGTCAAACACCAGCTGGTAGCAAAATGCTGCTGCCTATGATCCTTGACTGAGCTGGATGTTTCTGGGAGAGACTTAATTTATGTAAAAGGCACCTTTCTTTTCTTTCTGAAGGACCGTATAATTGATGCCGGCCCAAAAGGAAATTATTCTCGCTTCATGAACCACAGTTGTAATCCTAACTGTGAAACACAAAAGTGGACAGTGAACGGAGATGTTCGAGTCGGACTGTTTGCTCTCTGTGATATTCCTGCAGGTAAAAAAGTGACTTGTTAGCCGTGGTTACCTCCCTAGGAAGAAACAAGATCCTTCAGAGCCAGGACATGGCTCTTCAAGGCTTGATGCCCAAGAACTTATGCAAATAAGATGAAGATTATATTTAGAAAACTTATTCAAATAAGAGGAATGTTATATTTAGAACTTAGTGTTAGCTGCCAGTGAGAGGTAAACATCTATATGTGCAAAAGGAAACTTAGAACTTTTATGTAAGAGTGGGTATGACAGGATTCTGTGTCCACAGTCCTGCTGAATGAATTCTCCAAGTCAGCTGCTGTCTGTACAGTGTAGCCAGATGTTTTAGCTGTTGTTTTCTTTTTAAAACATATTAACAGGAATTAGTTTGTGTTAACAGCAATTGATTCCTTAGTTGCTGGTGTTTTTTGTTGTTTTGACTTTGAAAGATCCTTCTGTTTCAAATTGGACATAAAAGCCTCTGAAGCGAGAGCTGCTGCTTTCATTTTTCCTTACCCATCCAACATCTGAACAATAAAACTTGGTTTCTCCTTTGTTTACTTTGTAGAATAATAGGTGAGAAGAGAAATGCTATAGCTGAAACAGATTTAAAGTATGTTTCTAGAACCCACTGTGGATTGTTCAAGCCCAGCTAGAAGAAAGCTTAGGAGGCCCTAGTTTGAGTCCCTGGATCTTTGATGCATGCAGTAAACCTTCTTTTTGGATCTTTAGTTGATCAGAATATAAGGCATTAATTACTGGAAATAGTGTTGTCACAATTCCATGGTCATATTGTTCATTTAGAAACAAGTATGAGTTAGCTATAGAAAAGAAGGCTGGCCGGGCACAGTGGCTCACGCCTGTAATCTCAGCACTTTGGGAGGCTGAGGTGGGTGGATCAAAAGGTAAAGAGATCAAGACCATCCTGGCCAACATGGTGAAACCCGGTCACTACTAAAAAAATTAAAAATTAGCTGGGCGTGGTGGCAGGCACCTGTAGTCTCAGCTACTCGGGAGGCTGAGGCAGGAGAATTGCTTGAACCCAGGAGGCGGAGGTTGCAGTGAGCCAGGATCGCGCCACTGCACTCCAGCCTGGTAACAGAGCAAGACTCCATCTCAAAAAAAAAGAAAGAAAAAGAAAAGCAGGCTGAGCTAGAACCTATTCTCCTGAGCACAGATTGCAGATTGTTATACCCTATCACACTGGTTTTGACCACTTCTATGAAAAGGACATGATTCTTTAGGACATGTAGTGTTGCTGTCATTGTTCATGGGTGAACATGTTTTCCTTCTGTTTTTCTCCTTTTCTTTTTTTACCATCACTGTTATCAATGAGGTAGAACACTGGGAAGGGAAATGCCTTCATGCCAGAATGATGTCTCTTTTTTCACTAGGAGAGTGTGCCTGTGACAGCATTTCTCTTCCCCATGACTCAAGTATGAATAATTATTTCTCCTGTGTTTCAGGGATGGAGTTAACATTTAATTATAACCTAGATTGTCTGGGCAACGGCAGAACGGCGTGCCACTGCGGGGCAGATAACTGCAGTGGATTTCTAGGAGTGCGGCCAAAGGTCAGTCTTGCAGGGGGGCGCCCCCAGCCAACAGCAGATAAGGAGTAGGGCTGTTGAAGAAGGCTGCTTATGACCATCTCAGGAACCTGCTGGCATTTGGGCACCTGGATTAGTTTGTGGGTCATCAGCTGGGCTTACCAAACATTTAGACTGCGACTTTCCAAGGAAGCTTATATCAGTAAGGTCTGTTAGGTTCTGAAAATGTATTTATAGGCTGGGCTCAGTGGCTCACGCCTGTAATCCCAACACTTTGGGAGACCAAGGTGGGTGGATCACCTGAGGTCAGGAGTTCGAGACTAGCCTGGCCAACATGGTGAAACCCCCATCTCTATTTAAAAAAAAAAAAAGGGAAAAAAGAAAGTGTATTTATATTTCTGGTTGAATATGAAATTAGCAAAAAACTAATTTAAAACTTTAAAAAAATCCACAAAATACTATAGGCTACTGAATTATACACTTTAAAATGGTGAATTTTGTAGTAAGTGAATGATATTGCAATGAAAAAATTAATAGGTTGTCTAAAAGTTGCTTGGATTTACCACTACCCTTGCAATTAAAATTAAAAAGCTCCCCTATTCAAAAGTCAGTGAAGGCACAGTTGCTTACGCCTGTAATCCTAGCACTTTGGGAGGCCAAGGCAGGTGGATTGCCTGAGCTTAGGAGTTTGAGACCAGCCTAGGCAACACAATGAAACCCCCTCTCTGCTGATATAAAGAAGATTAGCCGGGTATGGTGGCAAGTACCTGTAGTCCCAGGTACTCACGAGACTGAGGCAGGAGAATTGCTTGAACCTGGGAAGCAAAGGTTGCAGTGAGCCAAGATCACACCACTGCACTCCAGCCTGGACAACACAATGAGACTCAGTCTCAAAAAAAAAAAAAAAAAAA